TATAGTAAAAACCAAACCTTTTTTAGATATTGGAAAAAACGATATGACTTGTTTTCTTTATATGATGAGGGAATTATAATGGATGAAGGTACAGAAAAGTTGTTTTAAAGAAATTTACGCGTTATAAATGACAAAATTAATTAATCAATTGATAGAGGGTTGGTATTCAGTTACACCAGAAGTCATTGCAAAACAAATTGCTGAAAGATGTAAGTGTGATGTAATCGTGGACGCGTTTTGTGGTGTAGGAGGTAATGCTATACAATTTGCATTTGCTTGCAAAAAAGGTAATTAATTAATTTAATGTGATCAAACTAATAATTAAAATATATCTAGATATTATTTTTTAGTTATACATTATTTTATTATTATTATTATATTATTATAGTTATTGCAATAGATATTGATGAAACTAAGATAATGTGTGCTAAAAATAATGCTAGGATTTATGGTGTAGAGGATCGAATTGAATTTATTTTGGGAGATTATTTTAAATTAATTCCTACCCTTAAGGTAATTATATATTTACAAAGCTAAAAAGAGAACAAAAAATCAGTTGAATTTTTATTCTTATAATATATAATTATATAATATCATATGCTATATAATAATAATAGGCAGATGTAGTGTTTCTAAGTCCACCTTGGGGAGGTATTAATCAATTTAAAAAAAATATTATTTTGTAATTAATAAAAAAAAAAAAAGAATTACTTATATATTTTTTTTTTGCTAATTAGGACCATCATATATCCACTATGATACATTTGATTTGAAAACAATGATGGCAATTGATGGGTAAATAAATATTTATGAATATATAATAAGATTATTATTTTTTTTTTTGTTACTAAAATATTAACATTATTAATATTAAAGAGAAAAAATATATAAAGAAACTACCAAAATAACCAAGAATATAGCATACTATGTTCCTCGCAATGTAGACCCACAACAGGTATATAAATAATTTTTATTCTATCAAAAAATGGATTGTATTTATATGGGGGAGGAGAACCAGATTATATAAATAAATTATTTTTTATTTTTAAAGTTGGCAGATTTTATGGGGCGTGGTAATGTATGTGAATTACAAAAAGTATTTGTGAATAGTAAATTTATAGCAGCTGTAGGATATTTTGGCAATCTGATGTGTAAAGATGATGAATATAATGAAGGAAAATAGTATGAAGGCATTAAGAAGAATGAGAAAAAATATTCAACTCTATTTATATGATATTAAGATAAATGGATTTCATGTTATTATATTTAATAGGAATCAAAATAAGAAAAAACCTGGTAATGTAATTTATTTATTTAATTAAATTAAAGTAGCCAGTAAAGGTTATGCAAGAGTTCTTTGGATTCATTATTAATTTATTGTAAAAAAAAACCACATTAACTTTAGGTATCAATTATCAATACACAATAGTAATATATTTATGTAAGATAGGCAAAGTGAACATAATATTATTAATATAATTATAGAGGTATTGATTGATCAATTAATTTTATCTTCATTATTTCAATATCCGCACCTCCATATGTTAATTTTTGTTCATTATTGAATATAAATTAATAATTTTTTTCTCAAATATTATTAGCAAGAATTAAATCCATGTATTTTTTTGTTAGAAGGATATATTTTTTTACTCATTCTCAAAGACATTAAAACAAATTTAAAGTTAATCATATTTTTGAAAATTGGATTTTTTATTTTTTAAATACAAATATGGGTTACTTGTTACTGCTAAAAAGCATATTTTCCAAGCTTTAATACTTTAATCATCTGAAAATTTAGATATATCAAAGCCATGTGATTTTTCTTTGCTGCCTAACAATTGGAGATTTTACCAAGCTCCATCAAAAACACAAATAAAGTTTTCAGAACAAAGGACATGAATAAAATATTGTCTACTATTCAAATATCAACAATCATTCATTCCCTCACAACTTGAAGAATAAAGCCATCTTTTTGAAGCCTTTGTTGATGTTTCCTCCATTATGAATTTTAAATCAATCACCTACATAAAAATCCAATAACCAGCTGATATGGAAACATAAATGTTTGTTGTTGCAAAGATAAAATGTCATTTACCATACATGTTCAAAAGTAGACCATCTACCAATACTTTGGCTTTGTTTCAATAACATCTTACTAAGAACACTGAAGATGAAGTCTTTGAATGTTCTAAGCCTTGATTTAGGTTTCTGATGATCTTGAAGATAAATTTCTCGGAGCAATGATGCTAGGAAGTCAAAGGTTGAAATGCCATTTGTTCTGTGAGAATTGATATCAACAAAAAAGAAAATACCTGGTTTTTTCCTAGAGACATTTAATATGTTCAATTGCAGTGTAAGTAGTTAAGGAATGAAGTAATAACCGGTTGCCACAAAAAGCACAAGTTAGCAACATCATGAATAATATACCAGACATTCCCATTCTTTTATGACCTATCCATGGTCGAATAAACCTCTTGTTTACTGTATCACATTCCATAACCATAAATATGTTGATACTTACCACTTTCACATTTCGGCTTCGTGGATAAAGCTTGCAATCACCTTTTCTGGACCTGGTTCCAAGTCAGAACTCTAAAACACTTGCTCAGCCAGAAATCTTTTATAGTTGATATCTTAGTTATCCAGATACAATTAATCAGATTATTTTTCAATGTTTTATGTTTTCAATGGCAAAGTGAAAGAATTTTTATCTAAATAAAAGGAAACCCGTTTATTCCAAATTAAGTCAAAATAATAATATATTGGGTCAAGATCTGCTAATATATGAGGGTTTTTTCGCAAAAATAGCAAATTTTTTTCAAAGAATTTAAAAAAAAAAAAAAATTATATATACTAATTCTATTAGTAACATTGGCAGTAATAGTAATAATAATAGCATTATTAACATGACTTTTACAACAGCGGCATTTAATAACAACAATTCAACAACCAGAGCAATTGATAAATCTGCAAAATCTACCTTTTCTGAAATAACATCTCAAGATAGAAATCAACAAAAAAAGCCAAGGAAAATTTCAAAAAGTAAAAATGTTGATAACTATAATGGAGACATTTCCGATTATTCAACAACATCATTGCCTGTATCCAATAATGGCTCAACCCCATCTTTAATTAGTATGACAGGTATACCTACAATGAGTAATGGTTATCATGGTAATAATTTCAATAGTAATCATTATAATTCAAATAATTTCAAAAATGGTCGTGTTAAATCATCATCATCTTCATATGATGAAAGATTTAATAATAATAATAATAATAATAATAATGGTAATGGTAGAAATATGTCAACAGGCCCACAAGAAATAGTTAGAGATTCAACAACACCAGAATCATTTTCATCCCATGCATATAGTTGGCCTATTTTATTTGCTGTTATACCTCCAATGGGAGCACTTATTTTTGGCAAATCTGATGTTTGGAGTGACTTTCTTTTGTTACTTTTAATAGCATTCTATCTATATAATATCATAAAAGGTATTTGTTTATTTGCATCCATTACTATTTTATTTTGATGATATCCATTGATTTATGATAAGTCAATGATGATAATAATAAAAATAATTAAAATTTTTTAAATGATTGTATAGTGCCTTGGGAACTTTACTATGCTGCTAGATCAAAACGTTTAATGCATGAAAATGCATTTAAGGGTCAAACACTAGATTCAACTCAAAAAGCCATCAAAAACCAATTGGCAAAAGAACTTCAATCTCATGAACTATCTACTTTAATACTTGTTATTGCATCACCAATTATTGGTGGCTATGCATTGCATGGAGCAAAAACTTATTTGACTGATTATGACCAATACATTTCTCACTTTAATATTGTGTTGTTTGTTTTTGCAGCTGGTATTAAACCTTTAATGCATATAGCTAGTTTAGCAAAAATTAAAACTTTGCGTCTTCAAGAACAAATTCATTATCCTAGCACAGAAGTTGAAGTATTGAAAAGACAGATTCAACATTTGGAATATGAATTTTCACAAATACACAAAGGTTTAGCAACAAAACGTGATATAAATAGTATCAGAGATGGATTTGAACCTACAATTTCTCAACTTAACAAGACAGTTAGAAAATATGAGAAAAAAGAACAACACTTGCGTAATTCTTCTGAGGAAAGATTTGCATATCTTGAATCAAAATTATCTGAATATGACAATTTCATTAATCACAATCTAAAGGAACAAGAGGCAATGACTTTACCGCCCAGCATGATGCAACTGATTGTCATCCCATCAAACATCACATTAACGATGTTAAGCTATGTAAAATACTTTTTACCTAGATCTTTAAGAGGTAGTCGCCAAAAACCAATGTTACAACCTGCTGATTCATCTGATGGTGATGGTAATAATGGATTCATTAATAATAATATCATAATTAACCAGGAAAATATTTAACAAGGTGGTTTTGATTTTGGAAATTCACAAGATATTGATATTTCTTTTTTTAATTCAACATTTTTAATCTTTCACGTTGTACATTACTATCAATTTATTATATTGGTATATTCCTATTTTTTTTTCTCATCTTTACATCATAACATCATAACATAATAACATAATTATGCCGTGGTGCCATTGTAATGCTATTATTGTCTTTACATCCCTTATTTAACACATCTCTTTACACATTCATTTGTCATGTTAAAAAGAACAGTTAAAGAAAACTGAGTAGTAGTGTTCTGAATATATAAAAAATCAATGTATATATATTTATTTTATGATCAGTTTTTTATTTTATTTTTACATTTATATTTATATTTATATTTTTATTTTTATTTTTATTTTTATTTAAATACACATATACATATATATATCTCAGCACATACAAAATTTTTGGTACGAAGGTTTTTTGACAATAAAATTTACATATTATTTTTAAAATTAATAGACATTATTTACAAGTAAATAATTATTAAAATTTACAATTATTATTCTTCCTATCTATTTCATATTTATTATTCACACATTAAACTCTACAATTATCAAAATTGAGAACCAAGATATCTGTAGCACCAATGTTTTCCAATTTATCCATAACATGTGCAATCTCTTCTCTACAAACCATACTTTGTACCTGAATCCAATTACCATCCTCTAATGGACTTACTGTTGGAGCTTGTCTACCTGGTGTAATTATTGCAGCTTGTTTCAAATTTATTCGTTCGATATTATAATTCACCAATACATATTTTTTTGCTGCAATGACACCTTTTATACGTGATGTGATTAACTTTATCAATGATTGATTTTTTGGATGTTTGTTCTTGATTAGGATTGCCTGCGAAGCCAAAATTGTTGAAATTGGTTCTAATCCTGCTGCTCTCATTGTATTGCCTGTTTCTAATATGAATTTGAATTTTGAGTTTTAAAATTGAAGTTTTTTAATAAAAGAGGAGAAAGAAAAAAACCAAAAATACTAACCAACCAAATCAACTATACATTAATTACATTATCAGTATTATATGGGTTGTGTTAAAATAAAAAGTTTTTAAAATTTAAAATTCAAATTCAAATTCAAATTCAAACTCAATTCAAATTAATTAACTTTTAATTTCATAATACCAATTGCATCAGCCAAACCAAGAGCACAGGAAGCTTCAACGCTTCCACTAATGTACTCAATTTTAGTTTTTTTTCCAGCAGTTCTTTCCTCTTTACTTAAATATTGATTATCCAATTCCTCAAAATATTTTGCAGTCAAATTTTCAAAACTTGTAACCATTCGTTTACCAACCAACTCTTTAACATCTTTGATTTGATTTCTGACAGGTGCTTGCACTTGAAGCTTACATTTGCCAAACCCCAATTCAATTATTTCTTCAACTTTTTCAGACATCAATGATTCTGCAACCATATCTTGGCCCGTTATGCCCAAATCTACATTGCCTTCTCCAACAAATTTTGCTATATCGGCTGCTGGTAAAAATATAATGGCTACTGGTAAGTTGTGCACTAAGGCAATGTCAAGCCTATTGCGTCTATTAAAGTTTATATCAGCCCCTTTTAACAGCGAAATACAATGTTCGTGAAGACGACCTTTTTTTGGAATGGCAAATAATAAACGATCGGTTAATTGTGAAATTAATTCCATGTTTTTATTAATGTTATTATTAATGTTAACATGAAAAAAAAAAGATAGATAAACAATTTAGAATATCCAACCAAATCAATTAATCAGGTTTCACATTAAAATTTTTTCTTTTGATATTTGTTGGGTCCACTTGGTCGCTGAACTTTCTTCGCCACAATGCCAACACAGTAAGCCATTTAGATAAATCACGTGACAAACGTGGGTCTTATTTTTTTTTGGATTTTACAAGACCAATAAAAAGTTTAGTGACTAAAAACCGTAACGCCAAGTATTTTTTTACAATATTAATATGTTTAAGAAATTTATTTAACTCAATTTGGTGACATGGAATTTAGTGCTAGCGAAATCCTAGCCAGGTTTGGGAAATATTTATATAAATGGCGCAGTCACTGATTTTGGTATAAATATGGAAATATAATGAATGTTAAATTTTAATAAAAAAAAAACTCATCATCATATTAACAACAACAAAATAAAAAAATGTATTATATTAATACTTTACCAATTCGGTATATAAATGGCGAGAGACGCCCGATACCAGTCAAAGGAGAAGGTTATTACCACCAATATGAACCGGTAGAATTCACAATGGAAGTAAAGAATTCTGACGTGAAACACACAGCAATTGGTAGAATTTATTTAACAGACAAACGATTAATTTTCATTGCAGATAAATCTTCAAAGTTGAGTGAATTTGACACTTTTTATATAATTATGACGGATATCGTTTCCTCAGTCATGCCTCCAAAATTTACAACAACATATAGAAGTAAAACTGTCTTCTCCACGGAAATAACTTTAAAAAAATCAGTTTTGAAAATTTCTGTTAATTATTGTGGTGGATATGAACAAGATGCGGAGGCTAAAGGGATTTTTGAAGATTATTATGGAATGTTGACGGCTTCTTCTGCAAAACAAGCTAAAGCACAAGCATTAGCAGCAGCAGCAGCAGGAGGATCTTCTTCCACTATTACTATCACAGAAGGTGAAATAGAAAAATTGAGAATGGGGTCTGAATACATTATTAATTCTTCGTATTATAATGATGACTATCATGATTCAATAGTTAGTTCCAATCCTCCGCCTTATAAGCATAATAATAATCCATCATCTCAGCATCTCCTTCATCATGTAGAGGAAGATTTGCCTCCATATCAATAATAACATTTTTATTTATTATTATTATATATTCATTCTTGTGTATTTGTAATTTAATTTTATTTTTGTATAAAATATGATTTATTCATTCATTTATACTATTTATTTTATTCATTTATTTATTTTATTCATTTATGTATTTTATTCATACAATATTTTACATATTGACGATATAAATAAATAAATTATATATATAAATATGCCTGTGTATGTCTATATATCAGTACCAGCCACTATTCTTCCTTTTACAAATACAGCTTTAAGATTTCGTTCATCACCAAGAAATATAAATTCTATCAATATTATTAAATAGTAAATTTTGCCTCTGGATCCAATTGTAAAATTACCAATAACGTTTTGAAGATTCACCATCCATTGTTGCCAAGTATGTTAATTCTGAAAGTTTCAATATTGCTATCACCATCATCTGATGATGCCATATAAATAACATGACTTGCTATACTTGCACTTCTTTATGGCATCTGGCATAGTATTTGCATTACCTTCGCCAATGTCTGTACCAAAACCTACTTTAACACACCATAATTCAGTAATTGTCTAACATCACACACCCCAAATCTAAAGAGCAAAATTGACAATATGATTAGGGAATCATACTATGCAATAAAAAATTTACATATAACATTTAAAAATTACCATATTATGATTGTATTACAATACTTCATATAATACCTTATGTTAAATTTCCCAACCCTAAATGCGATATGCCAACTTTATGTTGTCCAAGTAGCTTTCTCTCTTTCAAGGGATAAATGAATACCATGAGCTACGGTGATCATAAACTGTAGTATAATTCTTGATATAAGAAGACAATTCGCTGACGAACTCTAACTCTCTAGTATTTCTGATAGATATGATTGAATTGGTATATCATATTTTTGCTAGGATATCAATGAAATCTAATATTGGAGTCATGAAACATATTATTTATACTTATTATCAATGTCAAAGATTATCATTGTTGTTATTATTACTATTACTATTAATATCAATGTCACTAAATATCCCACAAAATGTTATGTATCTTTAATACTAGATTCAACATCTCTTCAACATAATCAATTGATCCATATTAATTTACAAAAAAATGCTCGTTGACCTTCCTGATTAACCATACCAGCTTCCAAATTAATGGTTGCGTAATAAACAGCTGTTGTAGTACCACAACATAACAAATGACTTATTATAATCGGATAGGTTTCCTTAGCAAAATCTATCGACGAATAATATTTTCAAGCAGTCAAGTAATGAAGGATCCATTCTAGTGCCAGCACCAGGATGTTGTGGAGTAATGATTTTTATGATTTTGTGTATATGTACAATATTAATAAATAATTTTATGCGATCAGATATTGATCCAGAGTTAATGTATCACGACAATTATGATTAAGCCTAGAAACGTCAAATCCATCATTTTATAAAATTTTTTTTCGTGCAACAGATTTTTTGATTGACTGCGTCCAATTTCTTCTTCCTAAAATTGACACGAATCAAATTTTTGTGTACTTTTTGACAACAAACAATGCAACAGTAATGGTAATTATATAATCGACTGGGACCTTAAACTATTAATAAATGCGAGTCACCATGTCATTATATTGTATTTTTGGATATCCGGTATAAAGTTTGGCTGATATAGAGATATACCAAAACTCTATTCGGATATCGTATCCGTCATCAAAGTCTCGATTTGGATGTTTTAAATTGCAAAATAAAACCTTGTAATCATAGTCATTTTGTATAACCTATGGTGATCTATGACATGTTATAAATTACAATATTTAGTACTTACTTCTCCCTACTGAATTGTGGATATCTGAAATATTTTGAATTTTTAATAATTAAACTGGCAATAAAAGGTAAGTGAATAGAAACAACAAAAGGGGTTGATGAAGTTAACAAGGCTAAATGAAATAAACGAAGGTAAAAAGATATTTAGATTTTGAATATTTATTAATAAATGAGGAAGGTGTTTACATAATTTTAAATAGGCGACAACACCAAAAACGCGTAAAGAAAACGACGATCTCCCGCGGATTTTGAAGATAAAATATTTTACAAGTTTCTAAATATCCTCTATAAAATCAAAAAGGTTAATCCGACTTCAAAGAGCCTTAGGATATGATGCAAAAATTTGGAGTGGCTATGGGGATTCCAAGTTTTATTAAAAAATACATCTCGGTTTACCGTAAAAACCTTTTATATATTCGGCGTCCTTTCGCTCCTGCCTGGGCCCGAAACTATATGGATGATAAACTTAATCGAAAAAGAAGAGCAACAAAGCATGCACCAGGCCTGCCCCGGTAAAAAGAAGAACAACAAAAAAGAATAACAATTACAACAATCACAACATTTGGAATAGTTTCGGTGCATCAGGAAAGATTATTTATCACATGCATGTTTTGTTAACAAAGACAGCTTATAATACGATCGTAAATTTTACACGCAAATTATATGTTATGTTTTCATCAATAAAGTATAATTTTGCTACTAGTTTTCCTGATTAACCCAGAAAGGAATACGATTTATCAGGAAACGAGATTTGGACAACTAGAGGATGATTTATTAAATCTGACATCTAAGCTTTAACATCATTTATTTTATTTTCGTTTTCAGATCTCAAAGATCTTAAAAATCATTTGCATAATATTGGTATTTATTATTATTTTGGAATAATAACATCAATCGCTTATACTGTACATAAGGAGAGAGTTCCACTAAATGTTTAGTCGGAATACTTTATGCTTAATCTGTACCTCCGTATGCAAATAATCACAATTTTTCAAACGTGTTTAAAAAATTAAAAACAGTTGGTGATTGGATTTGAAAATGATCCCAAGGCTGAATGTTAACAATGGCATGTAGAATTTTTTGTTTGATTCAAGTGACGATCCGTTTGATTCTAAACATTAATATTAACAAGTCAAAGAATCAAATTTAAAACATTTGGAAAAGTCATAACCTTTCCCACGAAAAAAGGCCCCCATCCTCTA